GATCTTGAATGCTGTGGTGTGTGGGCTAAGTGTGATACTGTAATAACCGTGAGGTTTCTCTACCTACAGTTAGGGACTGTGGGTTGAAATAGTAAATTATTCCTAGCAGACTGAATGGGCAATAAGACTGCCATCTACTTCTCCTCATAAAACAAAGCCATAGATAAATGGAAGAGCCAACTCACTTAACCCTTGTGGCTCTGTGCACTGCTTATTATGAACCCAGGCACAAGACGGGGGTTTACCCAGAGTGTAGTTAAATCATTTTTTAATCGAGGTAAACACTGGCCTCGTAGATGAGCAGCACTCAAGAAAATTTTTAATCAGTCGTGTTTAGGAATCATTCGTCCTAATTGTCATAACTTATTAATAATAAAAATAATGTAGTCTTTTAATGGCCAGGGTCTCTGGGGGAACCCAGTGCATTACAGATCTCTAGGGTATGAATCGCTCCACAGCTTTGGGGGAGGGGCACACATCCTTGGTGTTCGGTCCTAACCCAAGAAACTGGAACATGAGGTTAAGAAAGGCAAATCTGAGTTCTTTCCTTCTTCTTTTCTTCTTCCCACATCTGAATTGTCAACTGACACATGGGCTTTCATCTGTCTCTAGGACCAGAAGGACTCCAGGGGACGGGGGGCAGGGGGCTGGGAAACAGGCTCTCTTTGTTCACGTGAGTGATGGGGGTTGAGGTTTCCTCCCTTGGGAAGGGAGTCTGAGCAGAGCTTTGTCTGAAGGAGTTCATTTCCTCTGCACCAGTGTCCCTGGCGTCTTTGGACTCAACCTGATTGTGGCTGGAGTGGTCACTGGCGACTCAGCTCTGTGTTTGTGTGATTCTGATTCCTGTGAGGGGAGGGAAGATGGCATTGTCTTATTCTTGGAGTGGATTTCCATAGCTTATAGAAATTAGTAAACTTCACCTTCCCAACACCACGGAGTGGGATTAAACTAGGTCTAGATCAGCAACAAGGAAACATGAGCTCAGGGTGTATGGGGATTGTCTCAAATAATTCTTTGTGGTTGGTTACACTGAAAGGGAACCCTCCCGCTCACATTGTGGCCCTTTGCCTTTTATAAATAACTACTGATGATGGTTTGGGAGCTCAAGGCTGTGGACACGAACACTGGGGCAGAGAATGGTATGATGATTGTTCTTGATTTTTGTTGTTTTTTTTTGGGTTTTTTGGCTAATATTTTTTTTTTTTTTGGCTAACATCTGTTCATTATGGAGAAAGGAGGCTGGGTAGGTGACATGTAGATAAACTACACAGAAGCCACCTTCTTCTCACTCATTTCCCATTTTTTTGTCTATGACTCTTTTGAATCTGAGCTTGGATAGCTGTTCCTATTGGGAAAGGTGAACTTTTTAAAGAAGGTGCCTGAGCCGTTAGTACATGGAGCAGAAGGCTAACCGCTGCTGAGCATGGAGTGATTTATATCACAGACTGCAAAAGACATAAATTTAGAGTGTAAATTACAAGACAACTCATGTGCAAAATTGGTGCAATAGTTATACTAGTGTTTATTAAAACTTACATTTGAGTTAAAAGGTGCAAAATGCAAATAAGGCTGAAAAAGGCTTCTAAATCGTTTCTATGAAAATCAAGGGAGTTTTGGGAATGGAAGGTCAGAATAGTATTTATTCTGTGCAAATTTGTCTCCTAAAATGTGAAACATAACAATAGAATTGGAAGGAATAAGGACCCTAAATCCCTGCCTGAATTCCCTTCCTCCTGACCCACTGATACTTTCCAGTGATTCAAATCAATCCTGAATTTCAGAGGAAGTGCTCCTTGTCAAAACCATGGCGAGGTGGTAGAGGATTCTGGACGGATGTCGAGACTGGATCCGTATTTGAAAGACTAATCTTATTTCCCTGATGTTTTCAAGGTTGGAGGTTTTTGTCTGTATTCATTAAAGCAGAATGATAAATGTCTAATTTGTACTTTGCTAATAATACAGTGATGGGCCATTTGAGCTTCACCAAGGTCTCATACTCCTGACTCATCCTTGAACTCCATGTGTAACGTTGGGACAGATTTCTCACTTACCTGGGACTCAGTTTCCTCATCAGTACAATAAAGGAGTTGGACTAGAGGAATGGTGAGATATACTGGCCCTCTTTCCACCCCTCTGGTGGTAATGTGCTGTGTCAAGCAGTCAGGGCCTAGGAAGGTATTTAAGACCCATTTCACTTATCCTCAGGAGCTCACAGTCTACATAAATAATTATAACATGAGCTATAATTGCAACCTGCACAGATTACTCCAAGGGCACAGAGGTGGAAATATTGAGTTCCCTCACTGTGAGAATAAACTTCACAGTGACTATGACATTTGAAGACTGAGTAGGAGGGTTCCTTCAGGTGTGCAGGCTGGTCAGAAAGTGGGTGTTCAGACTGTGGGGTCCAGGAAGCAAACACAGGTGAAAGTGGGTATATTTTGGGAATTGCCCATGGTCCTTTTCTTGGTCTCTGGGCAGTGACATCTCACTGCTGGACCAGAATTTATACTAAGGATGAATTACCAAGGGTAGAGAATACTGTATAATATTTGTAGTCAGCCCATGAGAGGTTTTGTGTTTGCCAAAATCCATAGGTTATCAAGTTCCGTACATCAAATGGCACAGTGTTTAGTTATAGCCTTTGTATCTTCCTATGTACTTTAAGTCACCTCTAGATTACTTATAATACCTAATGCAATGCCATATAAATAGTCGTGATAACATATTATTTAGGCAATACTAAGAAAAAAGTCTACATTTAGTACAGATATAATTTTTAAAATATTTTCAATCTCTGGGTGAATCTGCAGTTGTAGAACCCACTGATAAGGGAACTGGATGTATGAATTTGAGTGAAGTCAATGTTGCCTGTAGTGGCGATGCTGCGGCCTGTTTAGGTCCCAGTTGGCTCTGTTCGGTGTGAGGGAGAAGTCTCTCACTCCCTAGGAATTGCAGACTTGCAAGTCTTTCTCGCCCAAGCCTCAGCAACTGGAGGCTGAGTATGCTGCTGGAAGCATGTTTACTGACATGATGTGAGCGGTAGCCCTCAAAGGGGATATGGGGGGGTATTGATAGGGATGGGGGGTAAGAGACAGTAGGGGGGCTAATAGTAATTAGAGTGCCTCATATACATGCATGAAATTGACAAGGAACAAATTTAATTAATAAAATGGGGAACATATGTGCCCAAGGGAATGAAACCTACAGCTGCGGGCCTTTTCTTCTGTTAGCATACCAGGCGAAATGTCTCCTCCGCACCATTCATGGCCCTTGGCTGCTCGTGACCTTGTGGGAGCTGATGTTTGAGGTGATAACTAATAGCAACATTAGATGCTGACAACGTAATTTTTAGTTTTTAAAATGAAAATACCTTGACTCTTTGGGTTACACATTGAAAGCATGTTCATTGTTAAAATTAACATTGTTAAAGATACATGTTAAAGAAGTTTGAATGATTCCATCTGAACAGTTAGTTGAGCAGAGAGGCCAGACTTAGAAAGCAATGCTTGCTGTCTAAGGTTCAAATATACTCATGGCATTAGAAGTTCTGGTTGTTATTATCCTTTGCATGGGGGGGGACATTGGTGACTGTTTTTTGCTAGAGTGGCTTACTGGTGTCAAAGCACTTGGTGTACAGTAATCTTTCCTATTTCTATAAGACTTTGGCCTGGAATTTACTATGAAGAAAAGGTGTTCTTATCTGTCTTGGGTTATAAAGTGGAGAATTAATGTATGTTTTGGTTCTGTGATTTAAATATAGAACTATATTCCTAGACCTTCTCTGTGTATTCTCTTATGAGTCGTTCCCTTGGTTATTACTTGTAAAGGGAACAGGTGGCTTAGTGACTTAGGGTGGTTTTAGAATCTCATAGGCTTGGGTTCAAGCCTGAGCTCCTGCTTGTACCAACTTTATGGCCTTGAATGAGTTGCTTAGCTTTCTGGAGACACAATTTCCCTATTTACATATAAAAAATAATAGAAGGGTGCTGACAACACAGTGGACAGTGACAGGGATGGCAGAGTATGGAGCCTCTAGTGGGAGAGGAAGGCTGTCTATCTGACGAGTTTGTATTCATGCTCAGATGCCGAGGAGCTCAGAAGGTGGGCGACTGTGACCAGTGATAGTCATGTATATAGAGATTAGAAATGCATGTGAAAACATCTCAATGTCAATTGCCTTGGAATGAATTCTTCTGTATGAAAAAAAAAAAAAAAAAACAAGTATCTTCTTGAAGTCCCTCAAATTAAGGTAAAGAATAAGAACAAATCATTCTGGAAGAACGCAAAGGAAAATAGCTTTAGATACTTAAGTGACAATAGAATTTATTCTCATAATTGTTTTAATAGCTTTTGTATAATCCTCATCACTATTATGAGATATAAAATGTATTTATCAAATCTGTAATCATTATGCCAAAAAATCTGAATTACAGATTTGATAAATTCATTTTATATCTCATAATAGTGATGAAGATTATACAAAAGCTATTAAAACAATTATAAGAATAAATTCA